ATTTGATAATAAATCATAAGAAATTGCAAATTTTGAAGAGCTATACTGCAAAATTTTATTAATACAACCACTTTTGTATCTTAAGTAAAAAATAATCCTAATCTTATTTTAAATTAATTTATGCAAAAAAAATTAAATTTAAAAAATTTGTCAATTTCCTCTCTTTTTGCAGCATCTAGCCCATATGTAATGATACATTATATATAGTTATAATTTATAATAAAATAGAGTAAATACTATATATATATAAATGGATAGATGACTAGAGTTCTTATGAAAATAATGAATAAAATACAATTTTTTTTGAGTATCTTAAAGTGACAATATAATGATAAGTATATCAAAATTCTCTAAATACTTTGAATTCTGAAAACAAAAATAGTCAATTAAAAATATAGGAATTATTGTTAGTACTGTAAAGTCAAAAAAATGCAAATCGAAATAAAAAATGAAGTCTTATCTAATACTATACTGTATGTGATCGTAAATAAGTTAAACAAAATAAGAAGAGCAATATTAAGTTTCATATGAGTAAAATTCTATTTGTTAACCTATTCAATATTTGGTAAATAACAATTATGAATTTGGATTAGTGAACAGAATTTTGATTAGCAAACTATAGAACAGAAAAGTGGAAAAAAAAAGTAATCAAGAATAAGCAAGTATTTAAGTTGTAGTAGAAAAAATTATTCTACTTAATGATAACACTCAAGGCTTTATAAAAAAATCGCAAAAGGCATCGTATGATTTATAATATAAAAAATTTATCATATTTATTTCAAAACATTAGTTTACTTGTTTAAAATTATGACACTTGTGAATAGTGTCTACTTAATTTGTAAGTATAGTATAAATATAAAAGGATATAAGTAGTTAAAGTTATTTTTTTATTTTAAGTATAACTCAATTCACGATAATATCAGAAGTGTGTATAATCAAAAAAAAAAATAAAAAAAAAAAATAAAAATAAGAAAAAAAAAGAAAAAAAAGGTAAATAAATAACAAATTAACATTACATAAAAAGCAAGCAAATAAGGCCTTATAATCATTGATTTTTAGCATATAAAAATAGTATGATTATCTAAAAGAAGAGCTTGTTTACAAAAGTCTTGAAGACAAAAGAAAGTTAAAAACCAATACCAAGTTAAAACTTCAGAAAATCATAGCAATAGTGGTGGCGAATTTAATAATGCTAAAGATAGTGATAGAGAAATAAGCATTTTAAGAGTTGAAAAAACAAACAATATTATTACAAAATTAATGCAAGCAATTCTAGAAGTAATTACTCATCGTCCACTTGTATATATTAGAAATTCTGTAAGAACAAAAAGGCGATAAAGACAAATACAGAAGAAAGCTGCCGTTGGAACACCCAAGCTAGAATTATTTTGGTCACCAGTAAGTTATTTTTAAATTATTCTAGCTAGTAAACTATAATATGAATAAATATTTATTTATTTGATTTAGAAAAGACAATAAATGTATATACAAATCTGAATAATATTGATTCAGATAGTAATTCTGAAATTATTGAAGATGGATTTGAAGTTGAAACTGCTAAAGGTCATAGCATTATATTCTTTAAGAAGTTGGGTGATACTATTAAAAGATTGGAAAATGAAATTAAAAGTAATAAGCATAGTGAGATGGAAAAAGCATACTTTTATACAGTGCTATCTTATTTTTGACTTGTAAAACATGGTCAAAAAAAGTAGAAACAAGTATTATAGTAGCAGAAGTAGCTAGGAAGAGTGTTTATCATGCCTGTTGTATACGTTCATAGACAACAATTTATATTAAAAATGGTGCATTTCCAATTTTAAGACAAGGTAAATATCCAAAAACCTGAAGTTTTTTATAGAATAATGATATTTTAATACAAATTAAGTCCTTCCTTCGATCCAACAAATAGAATGTAAATTTAAATAAACTAGCAAAACATGTAAATAAGAAGATACTTTCAAGTTTTTGCTTTGATCCTTTTTTAAACATATGTGTAAGAACAGCCCATAAGTGATTAAAAATATTTGGTTTTGAATACTCAGAAGTTAGAAAAGGAATGTATATAGATGGTTATGAGCATGTGAATGTAGTGGCTTATCGTGAAAGATTTTTGGAAAAAATGGCAGTATATAAAGTATAAATAATAGTTTTTTTTAGATAAAAATATGAAAGAAGAAACCCGACCAGTATTTAATAATATTGTAATTTTGGGTACACATGATGAATACATTTTTTCAGTATATAACAAGAAATGTTGGTTGTAGATGCTGAAAAGAGAACAACCACTTCGTAAAAAAGGCTAAGAGCGGTCAGTTCATATAATTGAATTTCTTACTGATATTGGTGGATATTTAGTACTGTATGAAAAAGACAAGGTATATATTAAAACTATTAGGTTTGGGGTTTAAATATTTTGTTTATAACTAAAAAATTCCAATAATTTATTTTTTTAGGCTGCTTTTCCTAACCTCCTATCAGAAGCATATATTATAAGTTATCTGAACAAAAATAGTGATAAGTGGT